TTTATGTAACTGGAACTCTATGCAATGTGAAGCCACCCCATATAGGAGCTGTACATGCTCCGACTTGAGATGTATTTGATTTAAAATAAAAAATTTGCCAATTTGGTTGAAGTCCCATCGAGGTGAGTCTGAGCGGGTGTTTGTTTTTCTGTTTGTTCTGTGTTTTTTTTTTGTTTTTTTTTGAGTCAGATGTTTGCTGCATGAATGAATGTATGAGATGCTCACTGCTTGTCGCTGGTCTAAACCTGTCCCCTCGAATCGAGTTGGAAGAAGTGAAGAGTTGAAGACCAATTATGTTGCATGCGGGCTGATTGCGAGAAGCTCATAGATTGGTGGTATAATGGTGTGTGAACTTGAAATTTAATTGTTGGGTCTGTTGTTCTTGCGGTGGATAGGACTGCTGTCTCTGTGATTTGCAATTAGGAGAATTGGCGCTACCTTGAGGAAGTGGCATCGACAAAGCGTTTGTTTAAGTCTATCAGCACTGCCCAGCTTTTCAGGTTGTCTCGTCCCGTCATTTGATCGCTTGATTGATGTGGGAGAGTACAGAGACCTGAAACGAAGGATGGCATCAATTTCATAGTGCGGACCACTTTCGTGTCCCGTCCGGTCATGTTATCGCCCAGACGACCAACAGAAAACCATACATAAGATAAGTGTACCACTCTTGATTTGGTCTTTTCTGAAAGGGAGGCTGGCACCGCTCCATCTTATCGAACTTCGATCGAGAGTCGACAGTAAGATGTCTTGAAGAGAACACTCGGAAAATTGAGTCCTCAGTCTGCAAGGTCTCTATGTTGGAACGAGGTTTTGACACTGTCGCAGCAATTCCTCGGAAAATCGAGTCCTCAGTCCTCAGTCTGCAATGTCTTCAGAGTACCAACTGGCTTCGCTCAATTGGCACACCCTCTACGCCAGTTGGTACACCCTTTAACTATTGAAATCCAGACCTGAGTTCGAACTTCAATGGAAGCAGATGAGTGAAATACTACACTGAAATACTACACTGTGAAATACTACAGTGAAGTTTTTTTTTTTTTTTTTTAGCAGGTCCTTATGGCCCTGTGATGACGAGTGAAATACTACACTGAAGAAAAGGGGAAAAAGGAAAGAGGTTTTCATGTGCCTCCGACGGCGTGTCGAGATTCGGCCACCCGTGTCTTGTTGTTTCTTCATTGGGATGTACTCAGAAGAGGTGGAAAGCAAAAAAACAGGGCGTCCTCCGAGTGGGGGAAAATCGAAATTAGGTGCAGTGAGGACAGCGGAAAATACTTGCGCACGTCACTATCTAGGATCATGTGGACCTCGTTCCATTACACAAGACTATATGCATTAGGACTTCCGAGCCAGATGCATTCAAAATCTTGCAGTCGTCTGAATGCACCGAGTCCTGAAAGCGTCCAAATGCATCATGTAGAGTGACGTGTGGTGGAGCGAGGCCCTGTGTCTCTGCAATACGTCATACATCAATCGAAAGAAGCATTCAAGAAAACATTTGAATTTTGAATGCACCGAAACCAAAAGGATGCACCATCCCAACACCCGGCACAATTGCAGCCGCTTTGTTTTTTTTTGTGTTTTTTTTTTTTTTTCACTTTGTTTTTGTGCTTATTTAAAAGGGTGTCAGCCTTGAGATGTTATCGTCTTCTTCTGCTTCTTTTTCTTCTTTTTTTCTTTTTTTTGTAGTAAAGTCTAAAGCAAGTTTATGAAGTTGAAATGGCAGCTATTGAGAACAAACCTGCGCTGTAGTCTCTGTTGATATATGAATCCCACCCAACTTCATGCCTTCACTTATCAATGAACCAACAATTAGCTGCTCTTCTATGTTGTGACCGCTTATACTATACTTCCCTACATACTCAACTTACCATCCTACTTCCTCTCTATCTCTGTCTTTTCTCTCTCTGTCCACATCACCTTCGTCCTCACAATTAGCTGCTGTACTTGAGCACGTGAAGTTTGCTCTCCACCCATGGTCAGGTAAGTCCCTCTCTCATCGCAGTTTTTTGTCCCTATCGCCCTGCAGTTTGTGCACGTCCGGCTCACATCCACCACACCTATGGCTGCTGCTGGTCGAGCTGCTGTACTGTGGCAGCGAGATGGTGCCCCGTACGTGTACGGCATTCGGAGTCCCTTCCGGCGCCTCTGGGCTTTCCAAGCTACCATGGTTGCACTCTACCCATATACAAAAAGGCTTACCCATTTTACACCTCGATTCCTCTCCTGTACTCCCTGGTTGCACTCTGACCCATAAAAAGGCTAACCCATTTTCCAAGATTAACACCATCCACCTCGATTCGTCTCCTGTACTCCTTGATCCTCGGGGTAGCGTCACGGGGCTTTCGGTACCGGAAGTTTCTGAACAGCTTCCGCCAGCTTTTCCATATGAGTTGGCTGTTACGGGCTAGTCGAAAAAATACGTTATGTACTCACTCTACGATACTGGGAATACTCCCAGTACCATGTTCGCTATGCTGACGACTTCCTGATTGGAGTATGGTTGGAAGGCCCCACTCGGAGTGGACGGCGTTGGTTACTTCCGTTGGGAAGGATGTACCACCCCTCACCCCTTCCTAATCTGGCCTATAATCAACTCACTCTGGCGGTTGGGTTGCACCGGTGACTTTGATACCGATGCTAATTGGTTTCCTCCTTCATATCTGCTCCTCTCTGTTGTTGGGCAGTGTGGATGTTCTATTTCCTGGCACACTTCCCTAGGTAGAACATACGGTCACCCTATGTCCTTTGTTGACTGTGGACTGAAACCAACCATGTTAAAGTATTACAGTACGTCACTCAACTGGATTCCAACTCCTCGGGTCTGTATTTCAACAGTTCATGGCTGTAGCAACTGAGATAGGCCCATAGTTTTTGCCTCTTTTCTCTTTTCTGGTCGCTGATCAGGCGAGGATAAGCGGCCCACTCCTGTATTCGTGGGGAGCATTGCATGCTGGGAACCAGGATCAGCTTCCGTTAGACGACGTAAAAGTGAAATATATGACTTGATCCAAGCAAAGAAGAAGATGATGTAAATCATATGACTGCGTTGATGGGCCTTCCCAATAGAAGGGGTTTGACCTTCAGTGCTAGTGTAGAAGAAAGGGCGACTCCACAACGACTCGCAGTCCACTAGAACTTCTGCATAAGATGGAATGTAAAGCCTTGTCGGTCCTGCCAAGCATGCCAGGTCGGCATTTTCTGCTGGTTATTCCTCTATCCCGGAACGAAGGCAATGCCCGAACATTCGCGCGTCGATTAGCATATCTGGGCAGCCACCGTTAGCCAATACCTATGAAACAGTCGATATATATGAATGCAAATGCAGGCACAATCCAAACAACAAATGAATTTCTTCGGGTAAGAGAGTCTTGCCCCCAGGATAGGGTGCGATCTAAACTCGTTGGCAGTTCGAACTCTGAAGCGCTGAGGTACTTACTTAAGTCAAACTTGTTGTTTCTCTTTGTGGCAGGTCGTAATTTGTTTTAACGATATGATCGTTATGATCCTCGCTCCGTGTCTATTCTCGGGAGCGTCAGTTCGGGTCCTGTTTTTTTGGTTTTTTTTTTTTAACCCTCAAAAAAAAAAAAAAAAAAAAAAAAAAAAAAAAAAGTTCGGGTCCTTTTCCCGTGCCAAGTCGTAAATTTACGATATCTGAATTTATGGTGAGTCACTGAGTACTAAAATAGCTGTGTTTTACCCAGAAGGGTAGCTCACTGGGTGGTACACCCACGAACTGTTGAATTACAGACCGGAGTTCAAATCCAGATTATAGAACTTCATGGACTTGACGAGTAAAACGTAATGTTTCTGAATTGCTCGGAGCCGGTCACGGTCAGCTCAGTGATGATATCTCAAGGCCGTCGCCCTTTAAAAAAGAAAAAGAAGATAGCTGTGTTTACGCTCAAAAGAAGAATGTTCTAAAGAAGAACACTCACACACAACCCTGCCTCTGGCAGAAGTATCCCTGAACAACATTAACTACTGCATTAGTACTAGGAGATGATTCACTGTCAGTTTTGCATTCTTTGTCTCATCCGTCTCAGACCCTCTGCGAAGGATGTCAGATTGGCCTTTGCATGCGAGAGCAAGGGAATGGGATTGATGAATAGCACTTCATGTCTTGCTTGTCTGACTTTTCCGCCGTGCTCAGACTTCTGTGTCTTATTTCAGATGGGCTCCTTGTTTTCTCCTGATGTCGGCTGTTCTGCTGTGCATTTGACATTTCTGAGTTCTGCGGTATTCTTCTCTCATAGGTATGACTCAGTCAAAAGATAGAAACCGCAGAAGTCAGTCTAGCATCCATCTCCAACCGGGCCTGCCCAACGTAATGGGGCCCACTCGAAAGGGTGTACCACCCCTCACCACTCTCAGTATAATAGCAGGCTAACTTAGGCAGGGGTGAGGGGTGGTACACCCTTCCTAAGGGAAGCAATCAACGCTGCCCACTCGGGCCTCTCAACCGTCATGGGGAGGAGCGTGTGCGAGTTGCAGTTGTAATTGCTTATGACTTGCCAGTGGAATAGGAACCGGACTGATGCTCCCCAGAATGGATATGGAGCCAGGGCCATAAGGTTCTGTTTTTATTTGGGAAAAGAAAAAACAAAAAAAAAACGTAAGGCATTAATTACACTCGTTGTGCCTTTCAACGACCAACACATGCGCTGAAATTTCACTTTCATCCTTCAGCTGCTGTTCTGAATCGCCTTCTGCCACTTGCAAAAGGTTTCTGTGTCAATGAGGTTTCTACTTGCAGCCCATACCTTATCTCTGGAGTTTCTCGTCTCATCCAACGAGATGCTGCACTTTGCCTT